GGAAGGCTCTTTTTATGCTAGTGTGGTTCCTGAATTTGCATATCGTTTGCTTTGATGATTGAGAACAGGCCCAACAAACTTGCTCCATTTTTTTCTTAATTAAAATTTAAATGGAGTCAGCTGTCTGATGATTCTGCAATGTCGCACAAATAGCACTGACTATTGCAAAAGGAATTTGTAAAGAAATCCCGCAGGATAGAGTCGAATCAGTCTCCCATTTGATTTCCATGCACCGGTGGATTGCTACATGGATTCCACTGAGTGTGTTTGAAACCAGTTTCATTTACACAAAAAGTTTCTTTAGAAAAAATGAAGGCTCGATTTCTTGTAAACAGGATTGTGCTGGTGCTGGCTCTAATACTGGCTTACATAGTAGTATTTGGCCGTCGCAGTAAACCAGTCGGGGAATTATCACCGGAAGAGCAAGTGAAACAATACACACTGGTGAACGAACGATATATCGGGCCAGACGCAAATATAATTACACCCAGCAATGTAGCAGTAGTAACTTATTATGCACCGCAAAGCAACAAGGAACACAAAATTCACTTTGAAGATGAACTGTACAAAAACGTTTCGTATTATAGCATGGAGAATATCGCAGACTATTGCAGCTTCCATGGATTCGCTTTTTTCTTTAGAAACAACTATATGGTGGATACCGAGACGAAGGCGGCATATTGGGGAAAGATGGATGTGGTGGAGCATTATTTGAAAAAGGGTTTCGAGTGGGTGATCTGGACTGATATTGATGTGCTATTTTTCAGTAAGAAATCACTGTTGGATCACTGGTTGTCATTTGCCAGTCCAAGGCAGCATATGGCCTTTGTAACTGAATGCAACGACCATAAAGGTGAGATCGGGACGATCAGGAGCGGTTTCTTTGCAGTACGGAATACAAAGGAAGGCTTATCATTTCTCAAGGCTTGGAAAGACACGTTTGTGGGATACAAAGGCTACCACAACCCAGAACAATCTGCATTAGAAGGGATGGTTCTTACGGAGCCTTGGAAGTCCTATGCGATGATCGCACCTCACAACAAGATCCATACATATCCATATTGTCTTAGCTACGACATTGATCCTATCAGTGTGCATTTTTCAGGGGGCACAAAGTGGAGCATGCGAGAGCACGCAGATAAATTCTATGAGGGAGAAGATAAAGTTCGAGATTTTCAAATTAATTTTCCCAGCCTGGACGAATAAATTTCTCTTGAAACTCTCTTATTTTTGTAACCCAAGTGGCTGAAACCCTTGCTTCACTATTGCCTCTTTGGTTTAAAAAGGTGCCTTTCCCAAACACACTTGATGAAATCTGTATTTATTATTAGAGGTGTAGTTATTGCCATTGTGCTTTTAACTGTACTGTACTTGCTGCCGTCCACACTCAGCTCCAAGCCAGTTGAAGTGGAGAAAGTAAAGGAGGAAATAAAAGCAGAAAAGCAAGCAGAGACAAAGGTAGAAACTCTGCCAGAGCTAATTGAAACAATCCCAGTACAAAAAGAAATGGCCCCAGTAGAAAAACCAATCACTCCGAGCCAAGTTGCATTTGTAACATATTATGCACCACAAGACAACAAGGACCATAGAACCCACTTTGACGATGGAACATACAAGGACCTCTCCCAATATTCAATGACTAATATCGCCGATTATTGTAGTTATCATGGGTTTGCGTTTTTCTTTAGAAATAATTACATGGTTGATACTGTAAACAAGGCTGCGTACTGGGGCAAAATGGATGTCGCAAAACACTACCTGGATGCTGGATACGAATGGGTGATTTGGACCGATATCGATGTCATGTTCTTGAGCAAGGATTCATTGTTGGATAAATGGCTGTCAAAAGCAAACGCAACTCATCATATGGCGTTTGTAACGGAATGCATTGGCACAGAAAGAAGTTATGGAACTGTTAGAAGTGGATTTTTTGCGATTAGAAATACAAACCAAGGAAGAGGATTTTTGGATGCATGGAAGGATACCTTTGCCGAATTCAAGGATGAATGGAATCCTGAACAGCAAGCACTTGAAGAACTTGTACAAAAAGAACCTTGGAAATCTGCAGCTTACATTGCTCCTCAAGATGGTATCCATACTTACCTCAAGTGTCTGCATTACGACTCTAATCCAATCAGTGTGCACTTTCCCGGTTATGACAAGGGATCAATGAAATCATACCATGAGAAAGTAAAGAATTTGTTTAGCACCACCAAAGACTTTGATATATCTTTCCCATTTGGTAATAAAACTGTGTCGTAGATTAAAGATTTGTTTTTCAATTGCTGTTCTCCAGCACTTTGAATCTTTCCTCAAAAATGAAATACAAATATGCTAAAAAGAAAAAGGAAGTTTGCGAGCTGATAGCAAGATTGGAAGAGAATACAATTGAAAATCTGATTGCGGAGAATCCTACACCAGTCCTGATTGCTCTGAATGCATCCTACGACTCTTTGATTACTGGACAGCAACTTCAGTCTGTATTTGACAAATATCAGGGATACCAAAAGATTGAAATGTTTGTAGGATCAAAGCCGTACTCTTACATATTCTTTGATTCAGCTGACGCTGCTGCAAAAGCATTCGTGGCACTGGACTGCAAGGAATCAACCGAATTAAGGAAAACACTGTTACTAGCGTATGCAAATTGCCTGCCTGGGTTTCCAGAACGGCCACTGCAGTTAAAATCAGAAACTGAACAGCTGTCGGGGCTGTATTATCTGCCAAATTTTGTTTCTAGGGAGGAAGAAGAAATACTCACTCGCAATGTCAAGGAGCAGGGCGAATTGGGTAGATGGGAAGCACTGCATCAACGCAGTGTGCAGCATTATGGATACCGGTTTGATTACCCCACCAATGATGTGGATAGACGAGCTATTGATGTGAAGAACACAGAAGTTGAACTGCCCGAGTGGACGCTGAATATACTTGCCCGCTACATGCAAGCATTCCCCCATCTTCCAAAACCTAATCAATTAACAATGAATCACTATATACCTGGAGGTGGAATCCCATATCATACAGACCGGCATTCTTCATTCATTTCGCCAATACTAATTTATTCAATGGCTGCAGATATAGTGATGGATTTCAAATCTCTAGATGATAAAGTTACTTCAGTGGTTTTGGAACGGGGATCTTTGGTGGTTATGGATGGGAAGGCGAGATACGAGTATCAGCACGCAATCAAACCGCGGAATGTTGACATTATTGATGGATTGGTACAGGAAAGAAGAGAAAGATGGTCGTTGACGTTTAGAAATATTAGAGATGGCGAACCATGCAGCTGCGGTTCGAAAATATGTGACTAATAAACCGCTAATTATATTTCGCTAGTCTCCCAGACTGATCTATGGATACCTGCAGTTGTCAACAAAAATTTTCAACATTTGTCAATGTCGAATCTGCAACTTGCAATTTCGCAGATTAGTGCATCAGCAGTAAGTGTATCGGCAGGAACAGCATACGTATTCTCACTCTACGGCCCGCAACTAGCTGAAAAGCTACAATTGGGACAAAGCGAAGTTGCATTCATTGCCAGCTGTTCAAACTTAGGAAACTACTTTTCAGGACCGATTGCAGGGTAGATTCAGCTAATATAGATACCTAGTATCTGCGTATCCTCAATATACATGGGCATTTTTTCTTTTTGGTGGATCAGCGATTTTCTTGGGATATAATTTAACTGCACTCACACTTGATGGATTATTACCACGGCCACATTTTTTAGTTATTGCATTATACTTTTTGATATTGGGAATTGGAAGGTAATCGCCATTAATGAAGTTGTGCTTGTTATCAAACTTCACTTGTAACTAACTATGCTAATTGGCCGGCACATTATAGATCGATAGCAATTGGGATGACAGTATCCTTTTTTGGGCTGTCGGCATTTATATTTGCTTTTATCGGATCTAATTTCTTTGCATTCAACAAAATACTGCTGGTCTCGGATTTTCTTACCTTCCTTGGGACGCTGTGCATGATTATCAATCTGTTTGCAATGGTGCTTTTGAAGCCATTGCCTGTTGAAGCCTCGGAGGAAGAAATACAGCCGTTGCTTAATGATGGCGATTTGGAAACAGAGTACACTACCGAAGAATACGAGCAGTATGCTAGTCCAGTTATTGAAGATGAACTAGACATTGAAGTCGAACCTTCAATTGGAATTGAATTGGAAGAGATTTCTTGCTTTAGATCAATGAATGCGTATTTTTTGGCACTCAATATGTTGTTTGTCGTAGGAGTAGGATTGATGTACACTAATAATGTTGGAGCCATAGGTATTTGGGGTTAATTTAGTGATCTCGCTGCTCCCAGACGGAATGACGTCAAAAGATCCGGCAACACAAGCATTACAAAAATCCCATGTTTCAATTTTGTCACTTACTTCTTTCAGTGCGCGAATAGCAACTGGATTCTTGGCAGATATTTGCGCAAGATTTAGAATCCAAAGAACAGTTTGGGCTATCTTTGCGTCTGCTTTTATGACAGTAGGATGTCTACTTGCTTTATATATCTCCAATGTCGATGAACTATACGTTGTTACCGTGTTGATTGCAATTGCTTATGGCTCTACCTGGACTGTTATACCTATTCTAGTTGGAGAATACTTTGGACAAAAGAATTTCTCTAAAAACTGGTAATACACGCTAAACTAGGGGTTGGATGACTTTTCTTGCTGGCATGAGCGGGACTTTCTTTTCATTTGTATTTGGAAAACTGTATGATGCTTCCGGCCAGATAATCTGTAAAGGGAAACATTGCTACTACGATACATTTGTGATTTGTAGTATAGCTTGTGGCATTAATATTATTGTGAATTTCGCATTGCTGATGAAGCGCAAAAAGGATATTGCTTAATATACACGGTTATTAGAATTCATTTGTTACTGGTTTTACTTTTATCATTTTGAGAAAAGATTACGGCCGTAACTATTAAAAAAAGATTTCTACTCAATATCGATACTATTCAGGATTAAATCTGCTAAAAAAAATGGCTCCGAATCCGGGGTTCGAACCCGGGTCACCAGAGTGAGAGTCTGGTATCATAACCTCTAGACTAATTCGGACACGATAACCAAAAACCGGTCTGATCTTTGACCATGCAAAAATAAGGTTATTTAAGGTTTTCCGAATCAGTACGATGCATTCGTCTTCCTGCTTGCAAGCAAAGTCATTCCCAGGTAAGCCCTTGTCACCTGCGAGATTATCTCCGTATTTGGCAATTTGAATTGATTGATTTTTGGAAATGCAAAAATTTATGTGCAGGATTGATTTATTATAAGCGACCAATTGGGTTGCATTAATCAGTGGCGGGAGGCGGTGATGCCAGATTGTTCCTAGTAAGCAACAAGGAGAATTGCAAATCTCATTAAAATTTAGTAGTGCGTTTATTGCGCTGTGCATAAACGCCAGTCTCGAACCAATAATGGTATCCTTCAAACCTAGAAATATCATTTGAACGAGCACCGATACCGATATATGATTCTGTATTTCCTGCTACATGCACAAATTCTTGATATATCTGCTCGTCTTTTGGCTCTTCAGTTTGCGAGGTGAGTGGCTTCTTGATGTACTGTGTAAAGAAATCAAAATCCGGGTGGTCTTTAATGTTGTCTGCTTCACTGATATCTGCATCGGTCTGCGTGAGGATATGACGAGGTCTGAATTGCTTGATATACCTGAATTAACAGTATGTACCTTGAATATTCTTTTTCTTCACCAATGGTTACCGATGGAGCAAGTAGTTTATTTACAAGCGTCGCAGTATTGAATGGAGTGGACGAAGGAGTCGAAAGTGTTTTGGCTGAGCTAAGCGAATCAGACTTTTTTGGCGTGGTTTTAGTGGAAGGATTCAGCCAGCGCTTTACTCCGCCAATGTTTAGATTATAAATCACCAGCGATTTAGCCGAAGCAGAATTTGGTTTAGCGGTAAAGCTGGAAGCATTTGATGGTGTTGAAATCATACGATACGAAAATAGAGTGTCCAAGGCAGTTAGACTTGATGGGTTGTAATACTCTGCAAAGAAATTGAATTGATTGTCATCAGAGAGCGGGAGTAGCCTTGGAACCTTTACATTGTTGATATATTCCGGAGTGTACCAATTAATATAGCTTCATTAGCAAAATATACCTTTTAATTGGTGGTAAATTTCTGGGATGTTCATTGTGCAAGTAGTAGTCAGTAGGCAAATCCCAAAGGTCGCCCGACTCCTTCTGCACTTGAAAGTTACCCAAGAACAGATTCATTGCATCCTGTTTTTCAGCATCGGCGAACGAATTGGAGTAGTATCGGCGAATACTTTCAATAACATCCCTCGAGTGACTGGTCCAGGCACTGATTTTGCGGTACGTTTCCATTGTATTCACGAGATGAGAGCCGCCATATTGAAGAGCTATTGTATCTCCATGATCGTGATACATGGCGTTGAAAATATTAATGGCATCAGAATCAAAAGGAACAGTTGGCTCAGGTATAATGCCTAAAGCATACAGCTACATTAAATAGTAATACCTGCTGGCCCAAAGCGCATTTACCAACAACAAATTGGGCTGCATTCGTTCTATCAAGACAGTCGATGCAATTTGTTCTCAGAATTCCACGTTGAAATCGTAGTCTTTCATCAGGGTTTACCTCCAACTCTCCTAGTTTACTTGTTAATCGTATTGTACTTTGATTTCTTTATGGAGTTTGAATATAATTCGATCCCAGTGTGAAAGATATCCGTGGTACTTAGAAATTCCTCAGCCATTTTCTCCAATGTCCCTATCACATCTTGATCTGCGCTAACTCAAAGATAGGATACCTTTTCGAAGCCCTGATATTAGTTATAAATACCTGGCCATATCCCACGCGATGTACTGTATTTTCTTATCCAATGGTAGAGACTGATTCAAGTACTCCACCGCTGTCGTAAAGTGCTCCAATAAGATTGATTCTCTCTTGGTCTTTTCTTTCGCCTGCTGTTAGAAATCGTGAACTTTGACTAAATTCAGAACGATTACTGGACTCCCGTATCTCTTGTGCAAGTCATCAAAGTGCTTGGCGGTGGCAGTATAGAATGGGTCTATGTAGTCGACTAGATTAATGAAGATTACCTTGGATCGAAGGCTTTGCCGCCATTGACGAATTCTCTTGGCTCCAAAATAGGGGTATGCTACCTCGATGTTGTAAAAAACTGGTATAGCACGGCTTTGGATTCGTACTATTGTTTGGTGCGTAAAACATGGTTGTTGATTCGTCATTTACAATTTGTTCCGTTTCTACATCATTTGCGACATAACCCTAATGTCAACTATAGAAATAACCATTCCATTAACACCTCGCTTCAAAAACCTAGCGCCAGCAAAGTGTCTAGACCGTCTTGCAATCAAAGTAACTAGCACATTGTGGCCATAGACTGAGATTTTGGATTGGTCCACAAATCCATGAATAACCGGAATTTTCCATAATCCCAAACCAAAGCCTTCTGTCAAGTAACTGTTCCACACAAACACGTCGTTCACTTTACATCCAGTCAAGTTATTCTGCAGACTATTGCTAATATCATAGGTGTAACTAAAGTAAAAGTTTTTGGAATTGAACACTTGCGAGAATATCGTGCAATATCTTGTCTCTGTTGCTGATTTCGGCTTATCCATAATTGGTATCATTGCGGTATCGTCTACATGGTATACATAGTGGCCTCCAATTAGCGTAACTGGCGATTTCTTTGTAATCAACAACATATAGTATCCATCTTGAAACTGGACAAACCCGAATATTCCGCAGAAATCCAGAGTCTTTTTCAATCCCCCGGAAGATTTATTGCCGTTTGATATCATTGCCAAGAGATCTTGCATTTCCGCCAGCGAATATGTGCTTTGATCATCCACAAAAGAGACTTCATTCGGAGAGGTTTTATCAATCTTTGCAATGCGATAGGCATCCTTGGTGGTATTCGATCCGATGATGTAATACCTGGTCTTGGTCTCATAACAAGTGAAATCTTTGAGAATTAGTTTCATTAAAAAAGGTAAAATATTTTTATTCAGCAGTCTGTTGTTGCTGTTGCTGTTCCAAATATTTCTGCTCCATGACGGAAAGCAAGACCTTGCGTTGGCTATTTCTTTGGTTCACAGTGTCTTCCAATTTGGCCAAGTTTCCCTTTACAAAGTCAACTTTTCTCTGGTAATAATTTGTTGCGTCTTCGATACTCTAAGTCAAATATAGAGTACTTTTTCAGCGAAATATCCAGTCCCAACATCAACGATCACCGTAGCGGAATCATCAAGAATACCTGGAACATAAAGTGAGTTGGTCAATGGAACCAGCAACTCCTTTCCTTGGTTTCCTGGAGTGACTGATTTTAGCGATTCTATAGATTCTGAAAATTTACTTTGTGCTTGTTTGAGTTTAGCAAAAGAATTTGTCAAAACTTGGAGTTCCTGAGTTTAAAATAAACCTACTTCTTCGATTTGTTGGCGAACTGCTTGAAGTTGTGGGAGTGGAAGCTCATGTAAATTGATAGATCCAGGTTGTACGTCAGTCATTTTTGTAGATCAAGTTTTAATGTTGAAAAAATCTCTGTAATTTTAAAACTACCTGCCATATGAGCTCCTCAATAAGTCAGTTTGTGAGATGTAAATTATGGGAAACAGCAAGTAATTTCGCCCTGGTTGGCCCAGAAACATCCTCGACCCGAGGTTAACTAAAATGAGTATTTCTGTAAAACATACAAACCACAAAATGTAATCAATCGAAACATCTCTGGTTGGTACAGCATTTCTTATCAAGAAATTGCGGTGAATTCCCAAAGGACTAAAAAGGTCCTGGAAAAATTTACCATACAGGATGGCAAGCAGTGAATGCAAGTGGATATCTCTGATAGCGCCAACCGCACCGTGCTGCGACGGATCCAAAACTATTTGTCAAGGAGACTTTATCATTGAAATGTACATGCAATTAACATAGTCATTGGGCGAATACAACATACTTGAACAACTTGAAAATTCTTCCAACAACATTTGGAAATTTGCAGCGACTCCAAGTGTTGTACCAGCATCGTTAATTTAGGGACTTGTCATATTGCAACCTCAGCGGGCCAATTCCTCCAGAAGTTGGCAACTGGGTAACATTGCAGCAGTTGATATTGAACAATAATAATTTAAACGGTACAATCCCACCGCAGCTGGGAGCTCTTACAAATTTAGCTGTCCTGTACTATAAAATTTGACAATAGGAATTTGGCAAATAATTCTCTGCAGCAGCCCATTCCTGATCAAGTTACACATATGCCAAACTACCCTAGATTTACCATTGGCAATCTATCGAATGCGACCAACCCCGGGGACCAATTTCCTGGGAAACCTGGTGATAATTCCAATTCAAGCCAGTTGCCTCTAAAACTAGCGGCGATTGGAGCTTTTATTGTTGCAGTTTTGATAGTGATAGCCATCTCACTTTACTGTCGAAACAAAAAGGTGCATTTTACCTCACTATTAGGCTCACAGCAAAAGAGAAAAGTTGACTGAACTACAAAAAGACGATAGTGAATATGTCCCATCTGCTTCATTAATTCATTCAGGGCTTGGTTCTCAACAGGAGAGTGACTCGGCACGACGGGAACCACTGCCAAAATCACTATTTGAAATCGCTTCAGAAGGAAAAAGAGAGATGCACACTGATGAAAATTTCAGTTCAGCTCAAGGTCAGCAACTTCTAACGGTAGATGATTTGAACAGCTACCCAATTACCGAAGCTTCTGCAGATGAGGTACCAAAAACTCCACGACCGCCATACTCACAAGAAAATAAGAATATTTACTACTTTCAGCCAAATGTTCCAAGTAAAGATCTCGGAGCGACACCAAAAGCAAGCGAATACAATACTGGCACTAACCATTCCTACAGCGAAATGACACATCCAACGCATAATCCAGATACAATTCATTCGTACAGCCAAAAGACGTATCCAACCTACAATCCTAATTTAGATCAAGGAGCTTCCTATCCGAGATACGAACCAAATTCAGAAAAAAGATTTTCTCAAGTTGGCGAAATCCTTCAGAATTATGATCCTAATCATAAC